ATTGGTTCCCCCCTTGTCTGTTTGATTCTTGAAGGTGAACATGACATAGTTTTTGCGCTCTTGAATTTACTGTGTAGTTGTAGTTGGCTAGTGATAGGCATTAAGCAAAGACTAATGATATTCTGAATATGGTGCTTTATCTGATTTAGTAGGTTACTTAGAAATGTAGGAAGTCATTGGACATTAAGGCATCTCTGACTTAACAATTTATGTTTAACCACTAACATTTGTGATAGCTGAAACTGGCTACCAGTTACATATTTTCTTTAGTTAAACCTGGCATTTGGATTCTGAAACAAAATAGTTAAGGACTGGATTATTGTTACATATGAATGTTGGCTTCATGGAAAGATAGCATTGGGAAATTAAAGTATATTAAGGTGTGTGCTGGTAGCTCACATCTATAATCATAGCTACTCAGGAGGCTGAGATCTGAGGATCCTAGTTGGAAGCCAGCTTGTGCAGAAAAGTCTATGATACCCTTATTTATCCTCAAATATCCAGGAAGAAGCCAGAAGTAAATCTGTGGCTCAAGTGGTCAGGCACCAGCCTTGAGCAGGAAAAATCAAGAGTGTGAGGCCCTGAGTTCAAACTTAGTACCAGCGTCCCCTGTGGCCTCTCCGCATCAAAAGCACTGAATTACAGAAGTGGATAAACAGGAGTATATAGTATCTTGGTGTAATGCCTATTCACCTATGAATTTTGGTCCTAATGGAATTGACATGTCAGAGGAAATATCTGCATATAATACATATTAGAGCTAGGCCTTTAGTTTTTGCAATTTGATTGAATTTATATGTTTCACTCATATGTTGTTATTTAAACATCACTTGTTTAGCATCAGTACACTTTTATATTTTACTAATTAATTTGTTTTTGATGGCACTGGGGATTGAATTTAGGGCCTTGTGCTTCCTAGACAGGTGCACTACAACTTAAGCCTTGTTCCCAGCCTTACATGTTCTTAACTATATTCCAGTAAGGTTAGCTACATCTTTAAATGTATGCTGTTTTAAATCAGAATGAAGTTTTGGAAAAGTTAAATCTAGTAAGGCAAAAGTAATTTTGAATTCTATTAGGTAATCAGTTACATAATGTTAATATTTAGCCACCTTTTTGTGCCAAGTATTACATGTTTTTCTTTATCCTACAGCAGTACTATAAGATATGTGGCATTATGTTCATTTTACAGTTAAATCCCTGACATGTTAGTATGTTCAGGCTCATTACAAAGTGAGCAGATAAGTTAGAACTAGCAGCTTGTTCTGATTTTAAAATACATTTGAGATTTGTCTTTAGTATCTTTTTGCTTTCTGGTATTCTTTCTCTTTTTCCAGTGTGTTCTATGTAGTAAAATAATTTAAACAGTGGATATTAAAGTTCAGCTGTGACGTATTTGCTGTGACTGTTGACAAAGTTATTTGTTTAAGTCAAAGTTTTCTGTGAAATGGCAATATTAATAACACTTGCCTCTTATGGTGGTTATGAAATTTTAAGAGAAAAAGTTCATAGTCTGTTACAACGTCTGGTACTTAAATAGTTTTAAATAAACGTCAGCAGCTCATGTTATCTTCAGATGCTCATAACTTTATTCCGTAATCTTCTGGCTACTAAAATCTTGTAATCTTGTAATTCATTTTATCATGGAGACCTACCCCTTTGGGGGCCTCTTTAAAATTGTCTTTATAAAAAAACTACATGAACTCAGTTTCTTTTGTTCCTTTCCTCACTATGCTGATTTTCTTTGGGTCATTTTATGATCCCAGCTATTCTTTGTATGCTAGAGATTGCCAAAACGGTCTACTCTGGACTTCGTGTCTTACCAGAAGATTCATGTACTCTGTTGCCTTCTAGATGTGCTCTGTAGTACCTGAGCAGACAACCAGCTCTTGAAATGTGGCTAGTCTGAATTGTGATGTACTCTAACTACCAAATACAATAAGATTTTGTGTGTGTGTGTGTATAAGAGAGAGAGAGAGAGTGTACAGGCAGGGAATTGATCTCAAGGCCTCACACTTTTCACTTGGCTTTCTTGCTCACAGCTGGTGCTCTACCACTTGAGCCATACCTTCAGTCTGTTCATTGAATATGGAGTCCTGAAGACTTATTCCCAGACTGGCTTCAAATCATGATCCTCCATGTCTCAATCTTCTGAGTAGGCCTGGCGCTGGTGGCTCACGCCTGTAATCCTAGCTACTCAGGAGGCTGAGATCTGAGGATCGCGGTTCAAAGCCAGCCCGGGCAGGAGAGACTGTGAGACTCCTATCTCCAATAAACCACCAGAAAACCGGAAGTGGCGCTGTAGCTCAAGTGGTAGAGCGCTCGCCTGGAGCTGAAGAGCTGAGGGACAGCGCCCAGGCCCAGAGTTCAAGCCCCAGGACCGACAAAAAAAAAAAAAATCTTCTGAGTAGCTAGAATTACAGGTATAAGTCACTGGCATCCAGCTACAATCAGATTTTGAAGACTTTAGTGAGAAAAAAATACAAAAAATTCATTCATAATTTCATATTGGTTGCATATTGGAGTGATATTTTTATATATAACTCGATAATACTTATTAAAATTTCTTTAAATATATGGCTACTAGAAAATTAACATATGTGACCTGCATTGTATTTCTTTAGGACAGTTCTGTTACAGACACATAGACCTGTATATTTCTCAAGCACCTTGAAAATGCCTAGTCAAAAACTATTTTCTCCATTCTTTTTTTCCTTGCAAAGTTTTGTCTCTCCATCTGTCTCTTGTCTTAGTAAATACCTCTAATTATATAACCCAATGTCAGAAAATTTGGAGTGATCTTGGTTCCTTTTCCTTCCCTGTCTTTCATCTCCATCAGTTGCAAAATTATTTCTTCTTTTTAAAAACATTTTTGATTTTCATGTACTTTTTGTTTACCATTTTCACCTTGGTTCATTTTTTTGTGGGCCTTAGGTTTTGTCACTTTTTCTCTACTAAGTAAAAAAGTAAAATTCATCCCTATTTTCTTTTAATATTACTGCGGTTTCTTTTTCTTTTTTTGTATCTGACCTGGGACTTGAAACCAGGCCCTGAGTACTTACTGTCCCTGGATTTCTTTTTGCTCAAAGCTACCACTTGAGCCACAGCTTCACTTCTTGCTTTTTTGGTAGTTTATTGAAGATAAGAGTCTCACGATTTTCTTGCCTGGGCTGATCCTCAGATCTCAGCCTCCTGAGTAGGTAGGATTACAGGTATGAGCCACCATCATCAGGCTGCAGTTTCATTAAAAAACAACAACAACATTAATACATATCTGATCTGAATTTATTTTTTTTAAAGTCAGGATTTATTTTAGTCCTTAAAAGTGACTACCAATAATAATATTTATGGAAAAAAAATCTGTCCTAGTCCACTGATTTGAAATGTTATCCACATGGATGTATTTTTTTCTGAATATTCTGTCCATTTATGTGTTTGGTTATTTATATGTCAGTACCATTCTGTCTTTTTAGAAAATTAGTCTTATATTAGTTACTACAGAGGGATACTTCACTGTTTAATTTTCAAACATGTTTATAATACCTCTCAGTAGTCTTACCTCTCTTATCCTGCTTTGTATTTTTTCTTTCTCTACAGTGTAGTGTGATAATTAGGCAATGGCAAATTTACCATTACTCTTTAAAACTTTTCTGGCTACTATTATTTCTTTTTTTTTTACATATGAATGATAGAATCAGCTTGTCTAATTCATTCCTGAAATCAGATGGTATTTTCATTAAAATTTATGAATTAACTTTTTTTTTTTGGTCGGTCATGGGGCTTGAACTCTAGGCCTGGGCACTGTCCCTCAGCTCTTCAGCTCAAGGCTAGCATTCTACTACTTGAGCCACAGCACCACTTCCAGTTTTCTGGTGGTATATTGCAGTTAAGAGTTTCCTGGACTTTCCTGCATGGGCTGGCTTTGAATTGCAATCTTCAGATCTCAGCCTCCTGAGTAGCTAGGATTACAGGTGTGAGCCACCAGTGCCAGGCCTGAATTAGCTTATTAATTTGTGCATCTTTATAGTGATTGTTTTCTTACCCAAGCATGTGGTCTAAATATAATACTTCCATCTGTTCAAATCTTCTGTGTTTAATATTAGTGTTTTTAATTTACTATATACCTAGATTTTTTATTTTAGATGTTAAAATTATTTCTAGATATTTAATCTTTTTTGTTGTTGGTTTTGTTAATGGATCCTTTCTTCTGTTTTTTTGTGGGGTTGTTTTGTTTGTTTGGTGGTATTAAGGTTTGAACTCAGTGCTTTGCGTTCACTAGACAGATACCCTACTGCTTGAACCACACTTCTAGTTCTTCTGTCATGCTTTTGAAATAGCTATGGTCTGTCTTTATTTATTTGTAGTACTGGGGTTTGAACTCAGCAACTTGTCCTTGCAAGGTAAAACATTCTACTATTTGAGCCAAGTCTTCAGTCATTTTTGCTTTAGTTATTTTCCAGCTAGGGTCTCAATAATTTTCCTGGGTTGGTCTTGGACCAATCCTACCTGCCTCTTCCAAGTAACTGTGTAGTTTATATTTTAACATTTCCATTTGTCATGCCCTAATGATTTATTTCTTGTGTTTTTATGATGATTACTAAGTAATCTTAGTAAGAGGAACAACTTCACTTTCTTGCCACCATACTTCTGCTATTAATTTTTTCTAAAACATGTGCTTTGCTTTTGTTCCCCTAAAGTCTTTTAGCTCTTTATTCTTTAAAGATTAAATAAAAAATATATGTCACAGTCATCAGAATGACATAAAAGATTATTACTTAGCTCTGGTGACATAACCAAACACTTCTTTTTGTTGTCAGTAAGAACTATTGCTCTTTGCCTATATGACTTAATTTAATATTTTGAATAATCTCATTGATGTATATTTTTTATTCTGAGTGGCTTCTTCAGTCATACCTGCAAATACAAATTCATCAATTGAATTAATTTAAATGAAATTCATGATTTCACAAGTGTGTTGTTGTTGTTGTTGTGTTTTGTAGTGAGGATGAGGATGATGACCTTCAGTATGCCGATCATGATTATGAAGTACCACAACAGAAAGGATTGAAAAAACTCTGGAATAGAGTAAAGTGGACAAGAGATGAGGTAGTTATCCGGCAAGGTTTACTAATTACATACTTGTATATATCAACTATATATATTAGCTATCTATATAGTTAATAGATATTTCAAAAGCAAAATACAAGGATAAAATTACCTATCAACTAACATTCTTTTTCTTTAATTAAGGACATGAATAAGCTGGGTGCTATTAGGACTGACAGAGTAGTATAGTAAATAGAGGAATTTGTATACTAGTTTTAGTCCTTCTAAAAGTGATGAGCAGCTATGACTAGACAGAGCTGGAAAGTTGTCTGTATTTAGGGATGGAGGAAAAGGGAGAGGAACAATTTCTAATTGTTACACCTGCTTTATTTAATAGGATGATAAATTAAAGAAGTTGGTTGAACAACATGGAACTGATGATTGGACTCTAATTGCTAGTCATCTTCAGGTAAGTAAAATATCAAATGATATTTTTGAAATGACTGCTTTCAGGACACCGGGTTAAATTTTCTATGAGCTATTACATTTATCGTACATATTGAGTAACTCTAATCCTAAAATCCAAGCTCAGAAGTGCTACAAAAGCTTAAGACTTTTTGAGTTCTGGCCCAGCCCCACAAGTAGAAGATTCTGTACTTATGTAATAGGTCATTGAAAAAAAATGCAGGAAAAAAAAAAAAAAGAAAAAAAATGCAGGCCCCCTAAAAATAACATATAAAATTACTTTCAGGTTATGTGAATAGGTATATATGACACATGAGAATTTTGTGGTTAGACTTGTGTCCCATCTTCAAGAAATATTATTATAGGCATGCAAATATGCCAAAAAATTTTTAACGATTATTACTATAAGAATGATATTAAGCTTGAGTAGGGCTTCACAAATCTTTGTGATATATGTTACAACATTTTGAGAGAATATAAATATTGAAATATTTTGACAGCTAAGTAGTTAGAATCAGGAAAAATTATTAAGATTGTCATATAATGCTCAAATGAAAAAATAAAGCAAAGGATCCTAGGCCTCGTGTTTCAAGCCTGTAATCCTAGCTTCTTGTAAGGAAGCATGGGATTGTGATTTGAAACCAGCCCAGGCAAAAGTTTATGAGACTTTATTTGAACCAATGGCTGAACATGATGGCATGCATCTGTCATCCTAGTCTGAGGGGCTGGGTGCAGTGGTGGGCATCTGTCATCAGTTACATTGGGTGCAAATAGGATAATCACAGTTTAGGCTAAACTGAACATAAAGAAAGACCAAAGCTATCTTAAAAATAATCCCCAAAGGGGATGTCTGTCAAGCAGGCAGAGTGGGGAAAAGCAAAGGACTGGGCGTTTGGCTCAAGTGGTACTGTGCTTTAGCAAGCAGGAGGCCATTTGTTCAATCCCTAGTACCACAAAAATGATGCTTATTGTTCATCATATTAATACATATATGCTTTTTATTGGTATATAATCTTATAGAATATAAAATATTTTTGTATACTCACTTATTACTATACTGAGAGGGATTAGGCAAAAAACTCATACTTAAATTTTGATAAGAATTCCTTTGATTTTAGAAACTGTTACCTGTGTTTTTTCTCTATTGTCGTATGCTTCTCAATGCAGCCTGAAAATTGAGGCCAAATAAAGGCATTAGTCTGAATTGTATTTATCAGCTCTGCTAGCTGGAAAAGAGTTACTTAACCTTTGAACTTCAACTTCCTTATATCTGATATGTGGATGATACTATCTATTATCATTGTGATTATTAAGAATAACAGATAATATTGAAATAATTCCTGACATTTAACAGATGTTCAAGAAATGGAAACTAAATGAGAAAAGTTATTTATGTTAGCTTTAATATAGAAATGCTACAAGGGCATGCAAGAACGTGTCCATTATTTCTAAGAAAATAGTCTTAAATGAATTGTCATTGATATACAGAAACCATAAAGAAGCTCAGTTTGAATAAAAATAACTGGAAGTCTATTGGTACAGAAACTTCGGCGGACAAAATATTTTTATTCCTTTTTTGGGTTTGAACTCAGGTCCTCGCCCTTGCTAGTCAGATGCTCTACCACTTGAGTCATACCCTTAGTCCTTTTTTGCTTTATTTTATGGATACAGTCTCATGTTTTTGTCTGGGGTTAGCCTTGGACTATGCCTCCCATGTAGCTGAACTTACAGACGTGTACCAGCATCCCAGAATTACTATAAGCTTGAGATTAGGTCTTGGTAACTTTTTGCCTGCTAGACTCAAATCATCCTCCTAACCGTTACCTCCCAAGTAGCTGAGATTGTAGATGTACATGACCACTTGTGACTGTCCCTTTATATATTTCTAGATTAATTATTTTGTATATGACCTAGTAACTTTTTTGTGTGTTTGTGTGATAGTAATGCAGTGTGAACTGGACAGTTCTCAACTATTTTTTTACTCATGACTGGTGTTCTACAGCTTGAGTTATGCCTTTACTACCAGCTTTTTTTTTTTGTCAGTTGTAGGGCTTGAACTCTGGGCCTGGGCACTGCCCCTCAGCTCTTCAGCTCAAGGCAAGTGCTCTCCCACTTAAGCCACAGTACCACTTCCGGCTTTTTCTATTTATGTGGTGCTGAGGAATCCAACCCAGGGCCTCATACATGCAAGGCAAGCACTGTATCCTGAGCCACCTTCCCAGCTTTTTACTGGTTACTTTGAACCTGGATTGCTTTGAACTTTGATCTTCAAATCTCAAGCCTCCTGACTATCTAGGAGTATAGTCATGAGCCGTTGGTGCTTGGCTGAACTAGAAACTATAAAATACAAGTCAGTAAAAAATATTAAGTATTATTATTATGATCCTAGTAATGCATTGTAATTACCAGGTCATGAATAGATTAAAGCTTTGTTTTTCAGTCATTTGGGGTTTGAGATGCTTCTCATTAAAATTCCTTATTCTGATAAATTCATTTTTCTTTAAATGTCAACTCAACATATATAATTGCATATGATAACTTGTTTTCTTGATAACTCAGTGAGCGGTCAGGTCATGTACTAGTCGAGTCTTAACTTAGGAATTTTAACTGTGGTGCTATATGAGTCTCTGGACTACCATGCTGTTTTTGACTTCTTGTATGCTTTGTACAGTTTTTGTACTATCATTTAGTCCTTAATGCTAGATCCTTCTCTATGGGATTTTCTGTCATGGCTTTGCTGCTTGCTGTGTTATAAGGTATATTGTAGATACATACTTGATTTGAAATGCATTTTTATTTTTTTATTTTTATTTTTTTTAATTTAATTTAATTTTATTTGTGAACATACTGTACAGAGGGGTTACAATTACATGGGCAGGATAATGCGTACATTTCTTACCGAGCATTGCAGCCTCCTCCTTTGGTTTACCCTTCACATCCCTTCCCAGCCACCCTCCTCCCCCCCAATCCCAATCCTTCTGCATTTTTAAAATTTGAGTCTAAGCTTTGCTGAAAAATAAAAAACTGGGATATAAGCATGTAAAAGAATACATATCTAAAGATTAATACTAAATATACATTTTTTTTATGACAGCTCTTGGGCTTGAACTCAGGGCCTGGGCACTGTCCTTCAGCTTTTTTGCTCAAGGCTAGCACTCATCACTTGAGCCACAGTTCCACTTATGTCTTTTTTTTTCATGTATATGATTAACTGTAAATAAGAGTCTCAAAAACTTTCCTGTCCAGTCTGGCTTTGAACTGTGATCTCAGATCTCAGCTTCTCAAATTGTTAGGTTATAGGCATGAGCCACCAGCACATTTTCTTAACTATGATTTTGTTCTTTATAAGAGTATGTCACATTTGACTTGCCTCTGGAAGATAGTTATTTAATAACAACATTGACTAAATTTTTTTCAGAATCGTTCTGACTTTCAGTGCCAACATCGATGGCAGAAGGTTTTAAATCCGGAATTGATTAAGGGTCCTTGGACTAAAGAAGAAGATCAGAGGGTAATATCTTCATATTCTTTATGCTCATCACTGAGTAGGTAGGGTAGCTTTTTTTCTTAATAATATTTTGTTTTAATATATGAAGTATGTATTTAAATGCTGAATTTTGCTCTTTAGAGGCAGTTTGCATAAGAATTGAATATTGACTTGAAATTTTTTTTTTTTTTTTTATTCCTGTCATGGGGCCTGAACTCTGGGCCTGGGCGCTGTCCCTCAGCTCTTCAGCTCAAGGCTAGCGCTCTACCACTTGAGCCACAGAGCCACTTCTGGCTTTTTTCTGCTTATGTGGTGCTGAGGAATCGAACCCAGGGCCTCATGCATGCAAGGCAAGCACTCTACCACTGAGCCACCTTCACAGCCCCATTAATTTTTTTTAAATTGAATCAAACCAAGTATTTGTACAAGCCATTTTTTGGGGGAGAGCAGTATTGGCGTTTGAACTGAGGGTTTTATACTTATTAGGAAAAGATTGTACTGATGTGAGCCATATTAGTTAAGGAAGACATTGTACTGATGTGACTGAATGTCATTTTTGTGGGGTACAGTCTTGTGGGGCTTGCCTCACACTTCAGTTCTTTTACCCATACCTCTTTCACAGCTGGGATTACAGACATGTGCTACCATATATGGCTTGTTTGTTGGTCTTGCTAACTTTTGTTCCTAGGCTAGCCTTCAATTGTGATCCTTCAATCTCTGTTCCTTCATAGCTAGGATTATAATTTGTGCCACCACACCCAGGCACATATAGGCCCCTCCCTTTTTTTCTGATAGTGGTTTGCAAAAGGAAAAAACAAAAACAAAAACAAACCTGACTGCCATGACCAGTTTGAAGCATAGTTTCCTGTCAAAAATTGAAATATAACAGATTTTGTGTGTGTGTGTGTGTATGTGTATATGTGTGTGTGTGTGTGTGTGTGTGTGTATGACACTGAGGCATTGAATCCAGATCCTCATATATGCTAAACAAGTGCTCTGCCACTTGAGCCATGCCCAGAGTCAGAGTCCTTTTGTCTTTAGTTTTTGTTTTTGTTTTTGTCAGTCGTGGGGCTTGAACTCTGGGCTTAGGCACTACCCCTCAGCTCTTCAGCTCAAGGCAAGTGCTCTACTGCTTGAGCCACAGCACTACTTCTGGTTTTCTAATGGTTTATTGGAGATAAGAGTCTCAGGGACTTTTCTGCCCCAGCTGGCTTTGAACAGTGATTCTCAGATCTCAGCCTCTTGAGTAGCTAGGATTACAGGTGTGAGCCACCTGCGCCCAGCTTTAGTTTGTTTTTTTTTTGGTCCAGTTGTGGGGCCTGAACTCTGGACCTAGGCGCTGTCCCTCAGCTCTTCAGCTCAAGGTTAGTGCTCTACCACTTGAGCCACAGCGCCACTTCCGGCTTTTTTCTTTTTGCTTTTGTGGTGCTAAGGAATTGAACCCAGGGCCTCATGCATGCAAGGCAAGAGCTCTACCACTGAGCCACCTTCCCAGCCCTGTAGTTTGTTTTTTTAGAGAGGGTCTCAGTGTCTTTTTCTTGGCTCTTCTCAAACTTGGCTGGCCTGGCTCCACCTCCCAAGTGGTTGGGATGATAAGTGTGATTCATCATGCCTTGCTTAAAAATACTTAATTTTACATTTGATAACTAGATGTAGGATGCCATTCTTTGTCTTTAATGAATCATATGTGTGTGTATATACACATGTACACACATGCACACACACAAAATTAGAGCATCATATTTCCACAAGATTTATAATTAAGAGCTAATATTTTTTGTGTAGTAAAAGTTGGAGAGGAATAGATGTTTCTGCCCTCCAGAGGGTATTGCTCTTGAGTTGAGGCTCCTTAAGGCCTGCCTGTTACTAAGATAGTTGGGGGCAATTAGAGTATCCTTACTAGTGTATTCTGATGACTGGATCCATGCTACTGTGCAGAACAATTTAAAAAGTTGCTTCACAGGCCATGCCTGGCTGAACCATTAATCTTCACAGTAGGTTCCCTGAACCAGGCCACAAACATTCCAGGCATGTCCTGAAACTCCTTGAACTCTCCAGCTACCTGTGACGGTACCCATGATCCTACTTAACATCCCTCTTCCCCCTGTCCCTATTACACCTTGGGCTCCTGATTCTCTTCAAGTCACCTTGGCCTCTCTCTTCACCTTTCCATTGAAGTTTAAAGTTGTTCTTGTCTGTTGAAAAAAAAAGTTGCTTCAGTAGGCTCAGTAATTATCTGACTTACTAATCTGATTTGTTTAATGATTGACACAAGTTTTAAAATGTATGGTATTATTTAAACATGTATATACTAAGTCTTAAAATTTCATTTTTAAAACATTTTATATATATATATACATATATATAGATGGTGAAATGGATATATATTAAAGTTAAATGCCCCTCTACTAGGTTTACAGTGTCTTATTTGATAATGAAGCAAAGTGGCAGTGAGGTAAAGTAGACTGGGAATAACTATTTTTGCAAGTTTAGATAAAATACAAACAAACCTAACATGTGTGATCTGTATTTTTCAGTTAGGGGGTGGAAGAAATGAAAAGCCAGACTGATTTCCTTCAGACTGATCTGTTTGACTTTCTACTGAAGCTTTTTTTTAAAAGATATAAAGTAGAAAAGACATGAGTCTCAATGTCTTTAGCTATTTCAAATTAATTTCTATTAAATGAATTTAACTTATGAGTCATTTTGATTAGTTTTGATAAGTTGGGACTCAATTTTTGCACATGTTGAATGCTGAAGGTTAATATATCAATAAATTATTTTTAAAATAATTTAAAAATATATTTGCCAATTATAGTTCCAGCTAGAATTTAATGCATTTATTTAAAATGATGGTTTTGGCTGGATGTAGTGGCTCAAGCCTATAATCCTAGCTAATTGAGAGGTAGAGATCAAAGGACTACAGTTTGAGGCCATCCGGTTTAAGAGTTTGTGAGATTCCATTTCAACCAGTGGCTCAGTGTGATGGCATGTGCCTGTCATCCCAGCTACACAAGAAGCACATTGGCTGGGCACAATGGCATGTGCCTGTCATCTCACTTGTGGGGAAGCACAGGTAGGTAGCCCAAGCTAGCCCAGGCATAAAATGAGACCTTATCTTGAAATAACCAGCACAAAAAGGCTGGCAGAGAGAAGAGAGAGTGGTAGAATACCTGCCTTGTATACATGCAAGGCCTTGAGTTCAAGCCCCCCAGTACTGCCAATAAAATAAAAATCACATTCTTAATGTCTTTTTTTTTTTTTTTTCCAGTGGTGGTGGTGGTGGTGCTGGGGATTGAAGCTAGGGCTTGCACATGTGAGACAAAACCTTCTCTCACTTAGCAACATCCCCAACCCTGCCTTTCTTGAGTTAACTTTTAAACTTGTTTCCAAGTAATGCTTTTTAAAACTTTGGTTTTGTTTCTTAGGTTATTGAATTGGTTCAGAAATATGGACCAAAAAGATGGTCTTTAATTGCAAAACATTTAAAAGGAAGAATAGGCAAACAGTGTAGAGAACGATGGCATAATCATCTGAACCCTGAGGTAAAGAAATCTTCCTGGACAGAAGAAGAAGACAGGATCATCTATGAAGCACATAAGCGGTTGGGAAATCGTTGGGCTGAAATTGCCAAACTGCTTCCTGGAAGGTGCTTATATAAACGTGTATACAGCTTTTTGTACATAAGAATGATCTGTACTCTTTTAGTAGTAAATGCAGTACCCAGCCAGGCTCTAGCGACTCACACCTGTACTCATAGCTACAAAAGAGGCTTAGGTTTGAGAATCATGGTTCAAAGCCAGCCAAAGAAATTAATTACCTAAAAACTGGAAGTGGAGCTATGGTTCCAAGTGGTAGAGCACTAGCCTTGAGTAAAAAAGCTCAGGAATAGCACCCAGGCCCTGAGTTCAAGCCCCAGAACAGATAACAATTTTAAAAATACACATATAGCACCCTGTCTTTTATTTGCAATTAACATTTTAGGCTACATAATACAAGCATCTTTTTGGGACAGTTTGTAATAAATTCCTTGGTAAGTAACTCAATTGCTTTTTTAATGAAAGCTTTTATAGCAGTAAGTTATACAATGACATGATAGACCTTTACATTTATGTAAACAATTAATATACTTCCCAAATCATGTTTGCATATCATTGCCAGTCAGGCAGACTTTTCTATAAATTCTGTTGGAATGAATTGTAAATCAGAGATTTCTTTTGGTTCAGATACTATGCACATATTCAGAGAACTACAAATATACTGGCTGAGATAAACTGCTTGTGACAGTATGTTAGGAAAACTCAGTTCTTAATAAATGATGGTATGATATAAGTCATGGAATTAGTGGATATATCTATGTGACTATCCATCATAGGCAATGTTGAGCTTGTTACAGTTTATCTTGCATTGGTTCTTAGTACTTAGTATGGCAGACTAAGAACCTTGGGGAATTCATACCTCCTTACTTCTGAAATTACACACTTGTTTTATATTGTGTAATTTCTATATAATACTTTAAAGCATATTGTTTTTATATGTATTCTAATTATATATTTGGGAAATATTAAAAAGTAAACATTACTGTCTTTGTTTTATAGATAAGAAAATTAAGGCAATGTTCACTATTTTATGTGGGTTACCAACTCTGAACTAGTAACTTCTGACAGTTTCATTCTCTAATACTTTTTTTTTTTTTTGGTGGTTCTAGGGTTTGAATTCGGGGCCTTGTGCTTGCTAGGCAGGCATGTTACCTACTGCTTGTCCCATGCCCCCAGTGCTTTCTGTTTGAGTTACTTTCCATATAGTTTTGAATTTTTGCTTGGGCTGGCCTGGACTTAAATCTTCCTACTGATGCTTTCTGCATAGCAGAAATTACATATGTAACACATTCTATCCGGTGTTTTTTTTTGGAGATGGAATCATGCTACTTTTTGCTCAGGCCAGCTTTGAACCTTGATCCTCACAGTTTCTTCCTCATAAGTAGGCATGAACCACTGCTCCCACATCTTCTGCATCCTTCCCCCCCACCCCCATAGAATTGAGCCTAGTACCTTAACATAAAGCAGATTATCAGTATATTTATTTTGTACAGGATAGAATTTACATTACAAAGGATTTACATTTTATAAAGACAACATAGGTTAAAAGTGAATCAGTGAGTTCTTTTTGTCCTAAGAAGCAAAAAGGAATACTGGAATTTCGTAGTTTGGGGGGTGTGTGTGTGTGTGTGTGTGTGTGTGTGTGTGTGTGTGTGTGTGTGTGTGTGTGTGTGTGTGTGTGTGTGTGTGTGTGTGTGTGTGTGTGTGTGTGTGTGTGTGTGTGTGTGTGTGTGTGTGTGTGTGTGTGTGTGTGTGTGTGTGTGTTTCTGGTTCTGGGACTTATGTTTGCTAGGCAAGCACTTTACCATTTGAATCATGTCAACACATTATTTTGTTTTTTCATGATATATTTGGTCTTGACTTAAAGGCCTTTATCCTTGCTATATACTTTACCTAGAATGTTTTTTTTCTGTCTTGTTTTGAAACAGGATCTCATTATGTAGCCCAAGCTGACCACAAACTTGGGATCCTCCTGCTTTAGCTTCCCAAGAGCTGGGATTACTGACATATGCTACTATGCCTAGCTTTTTTTCCTGTTCTTGTAAAGCAGATCTTGGCTTTGCTATCATCTTACACAGGGCCTTCCTGGACCACCTAATAAAATAACCTGAGTTAGTTACTTTTCTCATCTTACTTTAATTATCTTCATTGGACTGCTCTTTTTCTTATTAGTTTTCAATTCTTCCTTCCTTTCTCATGGCTATACTTCCAATGACAATGTAAACTCTATGATCTCTGTTGTTTACAAGTATACCTGCCATATAGAAATACAGTTTAGAATTTTAAAAATATATTTAATTTCACCAGTTCTAAAATTTTGTTTTAAGTACCTTGTGCATATTATATAGTATTAAATTTTGTGAAATCCTTTTTCTCTTTTTAAATTTGTATTTTATTCTTAGGACTGATAATTCTATCAAAAATCATTGGAATTCTACTATGCGAAGAAAAGTGGAACAGGAAGGCTACCTACAAGATGGAATAAAATCAGAACGATCTTCATCAAAACTTCAACACAAACCTTGTGCGACTATGGACCATTTGCAAACCCAGAATCAGTTTTACATACCTGTTCAGGCACATATTTTTAATATCTTTATTATTTAAACATTTCTTTAGTAGATATATATGAGAAGGTGTTTGATTTCTTACTAGGATAAGTAAAACTCAGTTGGGTGGGGTAGACAGGATTTAAAGGTCCAAACTAAAAGATATGCCATAATTTTGGCAAATAGATTCTAAAAAACTTATTAAAATGTTTCTTTTTATATGTAATTTTTACATTAAGAAAAGTAGTATGTATATGTACTAATACTCCCAGTTCTTTGCCTCTTCCTTTATGATTTAATTATCATGTGTGCTTTAACATCTGTGTAATTGTAGTATAGCTTATCTTGTAAGGAGAACTAGTCAAAAAATAAGTAATCATTGGGTTCAAATAAATACTTGATTTTTGATGTCATTCAACTTGCTTTCTCCCCAAATGACCAGTCACTTGGATGACTTTTTTAGACAGACATTAAGGTAGATTGCCCAAGCTCAAAATGGGCCAACTGTATGTTGCTCCTTGCAGTGCATTTCCTACCTAAAGTTCAGCAGTCTTCATAAGGCTTGTTTATCTTTACCTATTTTCCTATTATCTGTCTATCTGTTTATCTATCTATCTACCTATCTATCTGTCTGTCTGTCTGTCTGTTAAATGAGGAACAATTCTTGGTTCTTATCAAATAAAATGTAAAGACTAAATCAGAGATGAAGGCAGATATTTAATCTGTTATCAGTACATCTCTTAAAAGTACGTGAATAATTCTGATTGTTTTTCCTAGCTAGGTAACAGAAAAATCTCGGTTTTCCTATCTTTCTTCTCAGAGAATGGATAACTGGGTACTGGAAGTTGGTGATAAAAATTTGTTATAATCTCCTTAAAGTCCAGCTTCCTGTGGACTCATCTCTTTATGGGATATTTAGGAACACACTATGTGTTCTCCAGGAGATAGTATATATAACTCTTCCACAGGAAATTTTTAAAAATATGTGGGAAATAGCAATACTGTTATCTGATTGGCTGATAAAACCAGTCTAAGTAATTCTCAAATTTCCTGAACTTTATAATTTTCTCAATGTAGATTCTAGGAACAGCAATGTATTTACTAGATGTGAAATCAGCGGAAATATGAATTGGAAAAATTATTAGATATTCAAAGTGGTTTGTGTGTGTGTGTGTGTGTGTGTGTGTGTGTGTGTGTGCGTGCGCGTGCATGCCCGCGCCAGTCATGGGACTTTAACTCAGAGGCTGGGCACTATCCCTGAGCTTTTTTGCTCAAGGTTAGTACCCTGTCACTTGAGCCACAGTTCCACTTCCAGCTTTTTGCTGGTTAAGTGGAGATAATAATCTCATGGACTTTCCTGCCCTGGCTGTCTTCCAACCAGGATCCTCAGATCTCAACCTCCTAAGTAGCTAGGATTTTGAGCATGAACCAGTGGTACCCTGCCAAAGTTTTTGTTTTTGCCAGTTCTGGGGCTTGAACTCAGGGTCTTTGCATTGTCCATGAGCTACTTTTGCTCAAGTCTAGCACTCTACCACTTGAGCCACAGCACCACTTCTGGCTTTTTCTATTTATGTGGTACTTAGGAATTGAACCTAGGGCTAGGCAAGCACTCTACCACTAAGCCACATTCCCAGCCCAAAGTTTTTTTTTTTTTTTTTTTTTTTTTTAAGTTCTTTTTTTTTTCTTTTTTTTTGGGGGGTCCAGTCGTGGGGCCTGAACTCTGGGCTTGGGTACTGTCCCTCAGCTCTTCAGCTCAAGGCTAGCGCTCTACCACTTGAGCCACAGCACCACTTCCGGCTTTTTTCTTTTTTGCTTATGTGGTGCTGAGGAATCGAACCCAGGGCCTCATGCTTGCAAGGCAAGCGCTCTACCACTGAGCCACCTTCCCAGCCCACAGCCCAAAGTTTTTTAATGTTGATATTTTATAACAAATTTTGTTTGCTTTAGATTTAATTTTTTATATAGCATTAAATGTGCAATAGTAATGCTTTATTAGAAAAAGTAATACACGGGTTGAATATGATCAAAGTACATTATGTGCATGTATAGAAATGTCATAATGAAATCCTTTACTATGTATAATTTAATACCTGCCTATTAAAAAAATTATAATGTTTTGCTTCCTTTTTAGATCCCTGGTTATCAGTATGTACCACCTGAAGGCAATTGTGTAGAACATGTTCAGACTTCTTCTGCCTTTATTCAGGTAACTTATTTATAACAGAAAACAAAGGAAATACTTTTAAGCAGTTAAAAAAGTCAAATGTTGCCCATTTCTCCATAAGTTAAACTGAGATTAAAACAATATTATCTGCTCTATCTAGTAGGAAGAAACTTTATTAGAGGAAATACATTTTAGGTTGCATAGGAGAAAAAATTAGAAGCTTAATATTTTTAAGTATATTTTTTATTGTTATTGTAAGGGTAATGTAAGTCAGGTAATAAGTACATTTCTTTCTGAACAGTGTTGAGTCTTCCCTTGTTTTTTCCCAGTTTTTCCCTCCCAACCCTAGAACACTAATATTTTAAAGTAACTTGGTAAGTAGTCTATTTATTTATTTATTATTTTGTAGCAACCCTTTGTTGATGAAGATCCTGATAAGGAAAAGAAAATAAAGGAACTGGAGTTACTTCTTATGTCAGCAGAGAATGAAGTTAGAAGAAAGCGACTTCCTTCTGTAAGAAATATACTTAAATGTTTAGATTTTTATTGTTTGAACTTTTGATACAGACACTTTTATAGTTATCACTAGCTGTAAATCCTTCTCTGACATCACATTTTAATATAAGCTAGGGCTAGGGATGTGGCTTAGTGGTAGAATGCTTGCCTAGCATGCATGAAGCCCTGAGTTCAGTTCCTCAGGATCACATAAGCAGAAAAAGCCAGAAGAAGTGCTGTGGCTCAAGTGGTAGAGTGCTAGCTTTGAGCACAGAGAGGCACAGGAACAGAGAGACTAGGTCCTGAGTTCAAGCCCCAGGACTGGGGGAAAAAATGGAGTAAGCTGTTTTAAAATTTGCGTCTTTGAGATGGACTTATTGCTATATGCATTGATGAGCATATGTTACGATATTCTTTATTAAGATACTTGTGTTTAAAAGGTTGGTTTTTGAGTCGTGAATGTCAAACAGACCTTAGGTAAAAATCTTTAATAGATAGGCTTTGGTTTTATTTTAAACGTTCTATGTAATGATGAATTTAATAAGAAAAAGGTAAGCCTAGAAAGTTAGGAATTTAATAGATGTAGGAAAACTTTTAAGCTCCTACATCACTTTTATTTTCTCTGAATTTGTTTCCCTGTTCTATTTAGAATGTAAATTCAGCACCTGGAAAAGTAATAGCTTTACAAATATGTAGAAAGAGACCATGTAGACTTTATGTGCTCTATTAACTCTTTCAAAAGAAGAAATTTTACATGAGTGTTGAGTTTTGGTTAGTAGGTGTGAAAACTGTTGCCTGAGATTTGGTTAGTGAAAATAACTAGTATTAGAATAAATGCTTATTCTATTAGAATTAACTACGCGATGTTGTATGGATTTAAAAAAGGCATGTTTAAGCTGGGTGCCAATGGTTCACGCCTGTAATCCTAGCTACTCATGAGACTGAGATCTGAGCATTGCAGTTCAAAGCCAGCCTGGGCAGGAAATTCTGTGAAACTCTTATCTCCAATTAACCATCAGAAAACTGGAAGTGGCACTGTGGCTCAAGTGGTAGGGTGCTAGCCTTGAGCTGAAGAGCTGAGGAATAGTGCCTAGGCCCAGAGTTCAAGCCCCACAACTGACCAAAAAAAAAAAAACCAACAAAAAAGGCATGTTTATATTTATATGATATTTTTTAAACTTTAATATCTTGAGCCATTTTTATGCTTACAAAAGGGTTTTCTTGAACTGAGGGTATAGCTTACTAGTATAACAGTTGCCTCATATGCCTAAGGCATTGGACTTAATCCTAGCACCACAACAATAAATCTGAGATTGATTTTTTGATTTAAGTCTAAAAGAGAGGCCAATACATTTAGAGTGACTGTTCAGTATTACTATGATAAGAATAATTGGAGATTTTGGAATAGTGCTATGAAGCAACTGGTGATGTCTTTACTAGTTAAGAAAATATTAAGAATGGCATTCATTTATTGTTATAAGTCAATTATATACTATAGAAAAAGCAATTTTTGTTTTGAAACTAAATAAGCCCATAAGCAAGAGACTTATGGTAATTTTAATTTTAGTGTAATTTTAGTTTTAAGAAGCCACAAATAATAGTTATGGCTGGAGATGGCACATTTTAAACATTCCATGTTTAAAATATTTTAGACTTTTTTTAGGGTTGAGGGTGTAACTCAGTGGAAATATTTGCCTAATATGTGCAAGGCCTTTTGTTCCATTTCTGAAGTGTAAAACAAAAACAAAACACATTTTTTAACTTTAAAAAATAGCAGTCTTATTTTAATTTAAAATGAAAAGTATAAGTAGTTAAAAAGAATTAGCATTTTGAAGTACAATAGAGAAAATGATTTCTTTTTGGAATCTGTTATCTGAAATCCACTCTTATAAAGATCTGATAGAATAAGTATATTCAGTATTGAATTCAGAAGGCAATTGCTTTAGTTACTAGATAGCAATACACATGTACTTATTTTAAGCCATTAGATGATGATAATATAATCACTATCTTACTGAATATCCACTGTGTTTCACTCTTGTAGGTGTTTTATATATATTCTTGGTAGTTCGCATATTATTTCTGTGAAGTAAATAAAACATTTTTAGAGATTCAGAGTAAGGTCTCTATGATTGTGATGCCATGGTTTTTCTGTTGGGCTTACTGACCTCCCTTTGTCTTCTGAGTCTTTTTACCTACTTGCAGACTCTTGAAAAGCAGATGTGTGGTTTGGAAATTATCTTCTGAAAGTGATCATTCATTCAGAGAGTGACTATACTAGTAAAATTATTGTTTTATTTTATTGTTGGGAAACTTTAATACAATAGGACTTGTTTTACAACTTTTTTTTTAAACCTTATTTAGATATTCATTGGATCATTAATTTGAAAAGAAAGTAAGTTGAGAAAAAGGACACTGAGTTACCTTAGATTGCATAAGGATGTTCATGAAGATTATTTTTCACATTCTACACACATTTTCAAATATTCATAAATGTTAAGAGAACAGTCAAGACCTGTATACTAAGCACCCTCTTAGTTCTATAATTAATAGGCTGTTTTGTTTGTTTGATCTTGCCGCTATCCCTTATCTTTTTAAAAAAATAAACAACAGTAACTGTCATGGATTCATTGTGACATTTCCACATGTATACAGTATATCCTGATCAACCCATTACTCACCCCTATACCACTTTCCTATCTTAATTTCTGCAAGTTTCATTTTTCTATTTTCATGCATTCAAACTACTCTCATTTACTCATTCACTCTCTTTGTTAGCTCTCTCCCCTCTTGCTCATTTTGGTAATTATTTTTGGTAGAAATAGGAATCATTTATTTAATGATTCTTATGGAATAGGTAATTTGCTTGCTATAATAGGGTAACTACTAATAACATTTCATTTTCGATGAAATTTAAAACTTAGTTCCTCATTTGTATTCACTACATTTTGATTGTTCATATGACTATTAGTTCCCTTATTGAACAGGTAATGATATAGAATATTTTCATCATTTATTCTATTATACATTGCTATATGCTTTTTTTTTTTTTTTTTTGCCAGTCATGGGGCCTGAACTCTAGGCCTGGGCGCTGTCCCTCAGCTCTTCAGCTCAAGGCTAGCACTCTATCACTTGAGTCACAGTGCCACTTCTGGTTTTTTCTGCTTATGTGGTGCTGAGGAATCAAACCCAGGGCCTCATGCATGCAAGGCAAGCGCCCTACTGCTGAGCCACCTTCCCAGCCCCGCTATATGCTTTATGTGTTATTTTTTTCTTCATGAGTCCAAGGTCTTTCTCCTCTTTTAAAAAAGCAATTTATTATAAGATAATGAAAAATGAATCTTATAAGGAACTGCTTTAGGTGACTTCTCTGAAGAGATAAAGTAACAAAGTACACACTGCTGTCAAAGAATTTACTCTGTATAGGAACATGACTAAGAAATACGATATAGTATTTGTCATAAAAATAAATAAGTCACAATGTTTTATTAGAGCATATAGATGAAGTACATGATTTAGAGCTACATGGTCAGGGACAGTTAACTGGAAAAAAGCCCATCTGAGTTCAGTCTTAGGGTATGATTATATATTAGCAAGACATATAATGTAGGACATTATTCTAACTGGATAAAATTACATATCATATGAAATACTGTTTGAACTGAATGTGTTTGAACTGTCTCTTAAAGGAAGAATAGGGCTCTTCCCTAGCCAGTGGTTAGTGAACATTCTAGATAAAGTGAGCATGTATAAAGGTGTCTGGAGTAAGAGAACATCATTCGCTAGAGAATGACAAGTACTACACCTGACAGTTGAGTGTAGTACTTGTGAGTGCAAGTGTTGTGAAGTCACTGTTGAAAAGAGAAGCTAGATTTTAGGAATTTAGGCTTTATGTTAAATATAAGTACTAGTTTTTATCTTACCATGATTGTATAGGTAATAATTTAATTAAAAAATCTAGTCAAGACATGAGATTAATAAAAACAATTTTATACCAATGCTGAGGGAACACTATATTTGCTATTATATTTTTTTGCTGAAATGATATGAAGTGTGTTGTTATAAAACAGAGCTTTTACTTGAACCCTGAGTTTGTTAAAATCTGAATTTATGCCTACATTGAGAAAGATAAATAACATTTAAATTTCTTTTGTAATTTTAGCAACCTGGAAACTTTTCTAGCTGGTCTGGTAGTTTCCTGATGGATGATAGCATGGCCAATACTCTAAATAGTCTTGAGGAGCATGCTACTGAGTTTTATGGTATTGATGAAAACCAGACTGTTTCTGCACAGCAGAATTCACCTACCAAGTTCTTGGCTGTAGAGGCAAATGCTGTGCTGTCTTCTCTACAGACCATCCCAGAATTTGCAGAGACTCTGGAACTTATTGAATCTGTAAGTAGAAACTGTAAGATTACCAAATGTTTAATGGACATTAACCAACTTTACAATTCATTTATGCATATATAAATTAAACAAGTTTTATACTTACATTAGAGAAAGTTGTAAAATTATATACTCAGAGTTAATAATTTGATGTATTCCTTCAGTTTATTTTCATTTTCTGAAAAATTAAATAATATTAAATAATTAAATGAATATACATATTCAGAGTTAATTATTTGATGTATTCCTTCAGTTTCCACTGTATACTTAGAAAAATATACACATATTTGTATATGAATATAAATATATATTTTAATGAATATATTCTTAATGTATTTTTCTGTGGAAGACACTTAAATCATGAACATGTCTTTTAGCTTTTTAAAACTCTAATTTTAGAGACTTTATATTCTAGTATCCTACCATATGAATCTAAGAAAACTTATTTACTCAGTTATTCTTATTATTGGACATTTAGGGACTGTCTCATTTTAAATATCCTTAATAACAGAAGATATTTATATAAGGGTTTGTGCAAAATCATGATTATGTCCTTAGGTTAAACTGAATTTTTGCATCAAATTATATCACCATTTTAAATATGTTCATATTTTTCTGTTATAGAGTAGAATATGAAATTTTATTATATGTACTTTTTGATAATAAAATAAGTTGTTCTCATAAAAATAGACAATAAGTTTAATTTATTGAATTAGGTGAACTTTTGGAATATTACATTTGGTATTGTGAGGAAAATCATAATTTGTTCCTCTCAGATGCTTTTACTTTAAAAAAAGTTCAAAGAAAACTTGTTTCTATTGCTAAAAAATGAGTAACTACCTCAGCAGAAAGCATCATCCTATGTTGATTAAATATATTTAGGTTGCAACATTAACTTTAGAAAGAATTTAATTTATTGCAGGATCCTGTAGCATGGAGTGATGTCACCAGTTTTGATCTTTCCGATGCTGCTGCTTCTCCTGTCAAGTCCACCCCAGTTAAACTAATGCGAATTCAACACAATGAAGGAGCCATGGAATGTCAATTTAATGTCAGTCTTGTACTTGAAGGGAAAAAGAACAATTGTAATGGTGGAAACAGTGAGACTGTTCCTTTGCCATCCCCAAATGTGGTCAAGTTTAGCACTCCACCAACCATCCTCAGAAAGAAGAGAAGAATGCGAGTGAGTCAGTCCTTAGGCAATGAACTGGGTGATAGCTCATTCAATGATGGTGGTAATACAGCACTAAAACATACACCAGTAAAAACACTACCATTTTCTCCTTCACAGGTAATAATAATGCTTTGTTTATGTTAACAAATGTTGAAAGTTTGATTAGAGTTTTAGTACTTTTAGTAATAGTTGACTATTTTGGTAAAACATAAAAATAATGTGTTTAAAAATGTACATGACAGTTTTAAACTCAGTAGGTCTATCACAAAGTATAGTAGGTGTGTGCATTATAGCATCATATAGTTTTCAGAGCTAAAAGGGAAGAAAACTTATTTACTCAGCAACTGTCCCAGATAAGTAAAATGATTTGCCCAAAGTTATGTAATACAGTGCTGAGATTGAGGTCTGACTCTTTGATCCCTAAGTGTTCAACAAATAAGCCTGAAATTGTATAAAGGGATCTCACCTACTTGGAGTAATTCAGATTTCAGTTTACCTATTAAATTTTCTTAATAGTTTTTTTTTCCCCTGGAACTGAGACTTGAACCTCAGGGTTTTGGTATTTTTGCACACAGGCTGGACGCTCTACCATCTGAGCCTTATCTGCATTTTCTTAGAATACTAGGAGAGAAACTTAGCTTATTACTGTAACAGTCTCATATTAGGAGATTTCTAGAGATGTCTGGAGCTACTTTCTTCTTTAGTAATGTCCCTGACAATCAGATGTATGTATTAGGACAGTTCCTTATAGAGAACTTGCTATATATTCCAGGCTGCATGTTAAATACTTTTTTTTAAAACAACATCTCAGTTAATCTTCCTCCAGAAAAATTTTAGGAGTTAGGTGGAATGAAATTCTGAAATTAATAACACAGTTTAGGTCAGACTAAGATATGGAGCTACTGTTTGTTGAAAAATTTTTTTTTGGGGGGGGGGGTCTGGTCGTGGGGGCTGAACTCTGGGCCTGGGCGCTGTCCCTCAGCTCTTCAGCTCAAGGCTAGCGCTCTACCACTTGAGCCACAGCGCCACTTCCGGCTTTTTTCTTTTTGCTTATGTGGTGCTGAGGAATTGAACCCAGGGCCTCAGGGATGCAAGGCAAGCACTCTACCACTGAGCCACCTTCCTAGCCCTGTTGAAAATGTTTTGACAGAGGTTAAAAGTTACATGGAAGAAGTAAGAAGTTTAATGGCCAAATAGACATGGAGAATTTTGAGGCTGAAAAGATAAACAGGATCTAACAGTGCACTGCTGCTTTTATCTCTGAAAATTGTGTCTTTTTGCTTCAGAAAGTTTCTATTTACATAAACTACAATCATTCTCTGTTCAGACCTGAGAATTAGAAAGTGTTCTAGGGAAGGTGAACAGGGCTTGGATATAGTTACAGTTTTCCATTTCTTCAGATGTATACACTATCAATTTCTTTTTCTTTCTTTCTTTCTTTTTTGTCTGTCATGGGGCTTGAACTCTGGGCCTGGGCTCTGTCCCTCAGCTCTTCAGCTCATGTGTAGCACTCTACCACTTGAGCCACAGCGCCACTTCCAGTTTTTGAGTGGTTTGTTGGAGGTAAGAGTCTCACAGACTTTCCTGCCTGGCTGGCTTTGAACACAATCCTCAGATCTCAGCCTCTTGAGTAGCTAGGATTAAAGGCGTGAGCCACCAGTGCCCGGCTCAGTTTCTTTTTCTATGTATTTTTGTTAGCATCAATTAATTGTACATGGGGATTTTATTTTGACATGTCCATATATGTGTATACTGTTTTTTGGTTGGACTCACCTCTCCCCCTCTCCTCCAATACTTCCTAAATGAATTTCAAAAAGTTTTACTGTTTCATTTACTAGCTATTTTTTTTATTGAAGTATAAATTCTAATTTATACTTATAAATTCTAAATACTTTCTAAGATAGAAAGTATTTGAAAGATATTTATATCTCCTGACAAAGAGCTTGGATTTTAGCCTGTGACAGATTTGATTGCTAATCTTCAGGTAAGATAATTCAAGTATCAGGCAGGAGTGATGGGCTGGATTTTATTCCAGTTATAAGTAGCAGGGATGGAGCAATTTCTGCTTCTTCGTACCAGTGCTCAATCCATTAGCTCCAAAAATAAATTAGTATTTCATAATTGTAAGATTCAATTAGTACATTATATAGTTTAGAAAATGGACTCTGTCACCTGAATTTTGTCTACTCAAAGGTTCTGTTCTGTTCTAGCGGGGGCAACCTGCCAGACTTCTATTTCTTACAACCAAAGCATTACTATAGTAACCTCCTTCTTCTTAACCTTCTCCTCCTCCTTTTATCTCTTTCCTCCCCTTTTCTGCAATGTCTTTCCTAGCTTAGCCCCTGGTGATCCTCCTGGCATGGTCAAGAGTAGCTGGGATTAGAGATGTACACCACCATGTCTGGCCTATTATATTCTGAATTCTTAGTACTGTCATAGAAAAAGACTTTTAGGATCATTTATTAATAACAGGTAGAAATCTTGCTTTAGGTTGCTCTATTTTACAAAACTATTGCATTTTTTTTTTTTTTTTGGGTCTGGTCGTGGGGACTGAACTCTGGGCATGGGCGCTGTCCCTCAGCTCTTCAGCTCAAGGCTAGCGCTCTACCACTTGAGCCACAGCACCACTTCCAGCTTTTTTCTTTTTGCTTATGTGGTGCTGAGGAATCCAATGCAAGGCAAGCACTCTACCACTGAGCCACCTTCCCAGCCCAACTATTGCATTTTTAACATAGAAAATATAGTTTTTCTGTAGAGTTCTATTCTGTAATACATTGCTTTGTTAAAATTTTGTTAAAATTTAACTTTTTATTTTGCTTTCTCCTTCCCTCCTGCCCTCTCTCCTTCCCTTCCTTTCTTCCTTTCTTCTTTCCTTCCTTCTGTCCTTCCTTCCATCCTTTGTGCTGGTCATGGGAGTTGAACTCAGGCCTGGTTGCTATTTGTGAGCTATTATTTTGCTTAAGGCCAGCACTTACCACCTGAGCCACAGCTCCACTTCTGGTTCTTTTGGTGATTGGTTATTGTTCTGTGCCAGTTCTGGGGCTTGAAGGCAAGGCCTGATCACTGTCCCTACACTTTTTTGCTCAAGGCTAGTGCTCTAACCAATTGATTCACAATTCTACTTCCAGCCATTTGGGTGATAAATGAAAAGGAGATAAGAGTCTCACAGATTTTCCTGTCCAAGCCGACTTTGAACTGTGATCCTTAGATCTCAGCCTCTTGAGTAACTTAGATTACAGGCATGAGCCACCAGTCCCTGGCTTTAAATAACTATTTCTTGAAGGCCTATTCTGTGCTAAATACTATTCTAAGCACTGGGAGACAGCAGTGAACAAAACAGACAAGAATTCTTGTGTTTATGGAACTTATTTTTATGCAGCAAAGTACAAAGGTAAGGAAAGAATAGGTGAGGAAAGAATAGGAAAATCTTATCAGATACTTGTATAGGATTCTAAATGCTCTGTCCTAAAAATTGTCTTTAAACTCTTTCCTTTGTAGTTTTTTAACACGTGTCCTGAAAACGAACAACTTAATATGGAAAATCCTTCCTTTACATCAACCCCTGTTTGTGGGCAAAAAGTTTTCATTACAACCCCTCTTCAGAAGGAAACAACTCCCAAAGATCAAAAGGAAAATGTAGGGTAAGTAGGTGTTACATAATTGTGTTAGAGAAACTGGAAAGCATAAGGTCAAGGAGAGAGTAGCTTTTTGTTCAAATAAATGGTATGTATTACAACTTAAGAAAAAAGCCATAACTTCATCTTTTATTCTGGCAGGGCACTGAAAACTGGATAAATGTAGCATAAAACTTTATAAGCAAAACATTTTTAGTAATTTTTTCTTTTTCTAAAGATGGTTAATTAAATAATTATTTTGTTTTGGTTTGGTTTGGTTTTGTGTTTGAACTCAGGGCTTGAGCACTGTCCCTAATTTTTTTGCTCAAGGCTTACACTCTACCACTTGAACCATGGCTCTACTTCCAGCATTTTTGGTAATTAATTGGATGGAGATAAAGAGTCTCAGGGATTTTCTGCCCTGGCTGGCTTTAAATCGAGATGCTCTCAAGATCTTAGCCTCATCAGTAGTTAGGATTATAGGGAACCAAACTTTAAAGTAGTTCTGTAATATTTAAATAAACATATGCATATATAAAAATGTAGTTTATGCTTTTAGCATTTCTTGACTTGTATGAATTCTAGTTGTGACTATAATACAAATATTTAAATGATTAACTAGGTTTAGAACACCTACTATTAGAAGATCTTTATTGGGTACCACACCAAGAACTCCAACCCCTTTTAAGAATGCACTTGCTGCTCAAGAGAAAAAATATGGACCTCTTAAAATTGTGGTATGTATATTCTATTTTTAAGAATTTTCCTAATTTTAAGAAAACATGAACTGATTTTTTTCATTTTTATTTTTAACATATAAATAGAAATCATGTGTCAAAGGCTCATGCCTATAATCCTAGCTACTTAGGAAGCTGAGATCTGAGGATTCTGGTTCAAACCCAGCCAGGGCAGGAAGGTCCATGAGACTATTATCTCCAGTTAACCAGGAAAAAGCTGGAAGTAGAGCTGTGGTGTAAGTGGTAGAGCGCTAGCTTTGAGCAAAAGAAACTCAGGGACAGCCCAGGCCCTGAGTTTAAGCTCCAGGACTGGCACAAAAGAAAAAAGATGTTCACTGAAACTGAAGCAAGTTTTATCTCTTGATTCACAAATTTGAATTTGTTATTCTTTTTCTTTAACCTGTAAATAAGCCTTTGCTTGGCTGATTTTGAATTTTTACTTTCTTTATGTTACCTAGAGAAAGTAAAATAGTTGTCAGTAGAATCTTTTCCTTTTTTAAATTATATTTTATTATCTTAAAGTAGTTGGGCAAAGTTAGACAAATCAGTTTATGAATACAATGTATCTTGATTGATGCCACTCCTTCATCATTATTCCTCATCCTTCCCAACCCAAACCCTCCCCTCAATTTTCTTAATTTTGTAGGATATGCATTGAATATTGGAACCTTTTACTTTTTCTTTTTTTTGTTTTTTGCAGGGAGGTTAGGGAGGGAGGCCATCTAGTCGTGGGGCTTGAATTCAGGACCTGGGCACTGTCCCTAAGATTTTTTGCTCAAGGATAGTGCTGTCACTTTGAGCTACAGCTCCACTACCGGTTTTCTGGTGTTTAATTGAAGTAATAATGGTATCACGGAAGTTCCTGCCTGGACTGGCTTTGAACCATGATCTCATATCTTAGCCTCCTGGGTAGCTAGGAGTACAGTTGTGAGCCACCAGCATCTGGCTTAGAACTCTTTTTTTTTAAAACTAAAACCTATGTTTTAAGCCGGGAGCCAGTAGCTCATGCCTGTAATCCTAGCTATTCAGGAGGCTGAGATCAGAGGATCATGGTTCAAAGCCAGCCTGGGCAGCAAAGTCCTTGAGACTCTTATCTCCAATAAAAACCAGTCAGAAAACTGGAAGTCTTGCTATGGCTTAAGTGATTGAGTGCTAGCCTTGAGCTGAAGAGCTAAGGGACAGCGCCCAGGCCCAGAGTTGAAGCCCCATGACCGACAACTAGTATTTGTCTGAGACAAGCAGAAACAGTCAGATAAGTTGATATTAGGGGAAATGAACCCCAAGATAAAGACTCAAATGTTTTTTCTTTCTTGCTATTGTTTCTAATATTTATAAGATATTTCTTTGTTGCTTTGTATGTCCCTCTCCCACGGAATAACCCCTGTTTTCACTGTATTTGATGTTGGCATACTTTGTGGAGGGGAAGGGAAAAAGCAAATTGTTTAAATAGGGATACAGGTGGACCCATTGCAACAATGAGATGTACAAGATGTTATGTTGAAAAAGGAACTTTACAACTTTGGCACGGGGTGGGGGGTGTGTGGCACACGGGAGATGGAAGGGATGGGAAGGAGAAGCAAAGGAGGAGGCAACAATGCTTGATAAGAAATGTACTCATTACCTTGCTCATGTAATTGTAACCCCTCTATACAGTATTTTCACAATAAAAAATAAAAATAAAAAAACCCTAAAACCTATGTTTTAATAGTTTCACTAGTGGTTACTTGCAGTAGACTAAAATAATTTTAGCATTTTGATATATCTAAGCACTTACATAATTGTAATATTTAGGAAACTGATGGATCATGGTATCTGCTTGAGCCTCAGTTTTCTCATCTCTGTACAAGTCATAAAGCACAGTCCAGATTTTTAATTGTGAAGCTGAAAGAAATAATAGGGGCTTGTCCTGAGTTTCAGGGCAAGTTTGTATGCTTAGTTGTTGGTATTGTTATTTGTATTGTAGGGTAGTAGTAGTTTACAAATAGAGATAAAAAGTATTCTAGGTATCTGTGATTTACCAATGTTGTCACCTTTGAAATACCATAGAAAAGCCATAGGAGACACAGACAAGCTTTCTAGAAATAAGAAATGTATTCAAAATACTGATTACTTTTAGGGGACATTTACAGTCTATTTTTAGACATATAGGTGAATACATTAATAGTTTAACATTTTTAAATGATACTTTTTGCCAAAAACCTGCTTTATTACATATCTGTTGGGAATAGCAGAAAATTCTATCAATACTAGAAAGATATGAAATACAGGTTTTGTATATATAGGGAGAAAAAATGCTAGCAACAACTTTTTAAAACTCTTTTAAAAACAATTTAGTCCCAGCCGCTTGCCTTCTTAGAAGAAGATATTCGAGAAGTTTTAAAAGAAGAAACTGGAACAGATATATTTCTCAAAGAGGAAGATGAGCCTTCTTATAAAAGCTGCAAACAAGAGGTAATTTTTTAGTATTCTTATTATAAAAAGTCCTTTTGTCCAAGTGATTTGTCTGTCATGCTTTTTTGTAAATTATTCATTCTAGCAGAGTACTTCTGGGAAGAAAGTCAGAAAGTCTCTCGTCTTAGATAATTGGGAAAAGGAAGAACCAGACACTCAACTATTGTCTGAAGACATTTCAGACATACAGGTTGGTAAAGGGTTCATATATATTTTAAATGGTTACTATAAGTTCTAGTGGTTCTCCTTTTTTATTCATTGTATGGCCAGTTGATTAGAGATTCATAAAACACCTTTTAGTATTATTCCATCTCATTCAAGAGAAAATGTTAACTTTTAAGAATATTTTATTCTGTGTGGTTTTCTCTTTTACTTGTTTTATTTTGGGAAGAACTAGCTTTCTTATGTATGATGTCAAAAATGATAGTTTACTAAGCATTACATTTCATTTTTTTATTTTGGTTAATTACTAAAATGTTTAATATTCCTACACTGCTAGAAAGTTATATCAGAGCCAAATGCTTTCTAGGAGGAAAATGAACCAGAACTTCCATGACCACTTACTCAATAGTCCCTCTATTGGTCTCCATTTTTGAATTAGTTTTTTTTTTCTGTTTCTTTTTTCTCTTAGTCAGAAAACATATTTACAACATCTTTATTAATGATACCATTACTGGAAATACATGACAATAGGTGCAACTTGACTCTTGAAAAACAAGATATAAATTCAGCCAACAAAACATACACACTTACTAAAAAGAAACCAAACCCTAACACTTCTAAAGTTGTCAAATTGGAAAAGAATCTTCAGGTATGGATTTATAAATTCATTTAGCAATTTTTATTGTTTATTAGTGATCATTTTAAATTTACTGATTACAAATTAGACTTTTTCTTTTAAATTTGAAAATGATTATAACAATATCTAAACATTCATCATTATTTTGACACTCAAAGTTTATTTGTGTTTGAGAGACTCATATCAACTATACAATTGGAGTTTTAGCCAAAGACTCTTATTGATTTCTTAAGCACAATTTCTTTTTTAAGCTAAAAATACCTAAATCCATGTCTGACACCTCTTCTCCTAAAGTAAATTAAATAAGTAAACAAACAAGTATGTATGTCCCTATTTGTTGCCCCACCAAGGGTAAGTGGTTGGAAGCAGTTTCAGCATATTTTTGTTGGTACAATGTTTCCCTGTAAACTTGTTGGCTCAGATATAAAACAAAATTCTTTTTTCTGTTGTTGTGTGACCAGCATGTAACTGCAAATTAAGGTTAAGAGATTTTTATCATATTAACTTAAGAGTTCACCCTAGAGAAGGGGTGAGGATGATTGGAATACATTGTAAACATACATGGAAATATCACAGTGAAATCCTTGTTCTCTGTATGCTAATAAAAATAAGTAGAGTTGTAATGTGAGAATTAATTGCAGAGGAAGGTTTCTTCATTTTTATGTCACAATCATTGCAGCATAGTATTCCTGACATCTTTGGCAGTCAAATATGGCTACTCCCACCTGTCTTGAACCACTACTTTCAAAGGACCAAGTAGCATGTTCTCTTAATCTATTTCAAATGTTTTAACTTTCCAGTGTTTAATTAGCATAGAACTTCTTTGGAAAGTTTATTAAGTAGCAGACCATACCTATGATGCAGTAATAAATCAAACTTCATTTTTTGTGATGAGTATATTTCCTCTTTCATCCTAGAAATCAAGCCCAGGACCTCTACCATGCGAGGCAAATACTTCTATTAGTGAACTACATCTTTAACCCTTCTCTTTTTAAAACTTATGCAAACTTTTGAAGCAATAAAGATGAACACTCATGCAATGTGTGGGGAGTTATTAGAGACAAAAATTTTGTACTGTCCTATGAGTACTGAAAATACTTTTAATGCGCATATAGAGTGACCTTTAAAAAAGAAACACAATGCCATTCTCAAAACATTTTTACAGTAATTATAAAATATCGAATCAAAAGAATGATTTTTAAGAATCTAACTGTGAAGTAGAATGGATAGTTATTTTAGTAATTTTCACGTAACTGTTGATATTTCTTTCCTAGTCAAATTGTGAGTGGGAAACAGTGGTTTATGGGAAGACAGAAGATCAACTTATAATGACTGAACAAGCAAGAAGATACCTGAGTACTTACACAGCTACTAGCAGCACTTCAAGAGCTCTAATACTGTAATTGTTATTAAAAGTGATGTAATTCCCCACTCCCTTACTGTATTTTATACCAAATTAAGTGCAGTGAGATTTTTCTCAATTAATTCTTTTTAGAATTTTAAAATACATCCCTAAAACAGTTTGCTTATTTTTCTATATTGGGTAGGTGAAAAGCTAATAGGTCACTTAAGTAAGGGGTGGGTGATTTCATTGTTCCTTTTTTTTAAAAAAATATTTTGGAAAATCATTTTAAAGAATAAAATAGGGAAGTAAGAATGTTTACAGATAACTCCAAAAGGATTTTTTTCTTCAAAAGGTATATGTTGCTACCCTCTTGAGGCTGCAGTTTTGTTATAGACAGGTATGTGAATACCTGTTTTCTATGAAATTAGTTCATGCATGGGAAGCACATGTGGTTTTATGAAGTACTTTTACCCACGTGCTGAAGCACTTAGGCTACCATTATTAAAAAAAAAAAAACACAGTGGAAAGGAATCTAAAGGAAGATTTAAAGAAAGTTGCACTACTAAGTTTCGGTATTTTTCAGAAACAATAAAATTAACTACAGTGTTAATGTATTTATTTGAGCATAGTACTAAAAAAGCATTGAAAATGAGTTTTTTTTTCCTTTTTAGTGAAGAGTCAGTATTTTCTTCATATCTCAGAAGAGCTGAGAGTTTTGTTGAATGTATTGTACAGTATGTAGGAGCAGGAAAACCTTGTAAATTGGAAGGAAGTCTTTTTATAATTTATTTTAACTTTTAAAGCTTAAATGTAGATATTTATATGTATACAGGGTGTCTAGAAGCCATGTTGTTTCCTGTTATTACAAGTAACATAATAAAAAACATTTTTGATGTTTAAGTATGAAACAGTGAAGTTATAGCTGCAAATAATACAATATACTGTGTGTCACATCTACCTAAATATTGCACTATGCCCTTTAAATCATGTTGGTTATAAAGTAGTTCTAAAAATGTACTAAATAATAATTTAATATTTTGTTTTTAAATTATATTGAGGGGGTCTTATAAATTAATCTGGTGATTTGTATATGTGTTTGAAATTTTTACATTTTGTTTTAAAAATAATATGGTACCTTGGTCCCTTAAAACAGTCTGCACTTAGAAGTTTATGATATTTTCTCAATGTTTCAGAAGTAGAGAACATTATCTTTTATTTATACAAATGTTTTGTCCTTTTATAAATGTTTTACGTTTCTCTACAGGTTACAACAGTTGCTTCAGTTGCCCGTTTAGGTGTTTGCACTTATTTTATTTCTTCTTGAAAGAATGTCTTTATTTGCTTTTGTGGTAGAGATTTTATGTAATTTTTTTGAGACTTATAATGGTGTGCTGTCAACTTAAACACTGACAGGTAAATAGAATTGTACACTGTAGTTTGAATTATTTATAATTGACACACTCTCTCCTCTCCACTCCTAAAGTATGCTGCTATAGAAAATAGCAGAATCGGCTTGCTGCTATGAGAGATGGAAAGAGCGAACCACCACTTGCACTGTGTGAAAAGATAAAAAGCAAATGATGGCAAGTTCTCAAGTTAACTTAATGGAATCAACCATTACCAGGCAAATTCTTACAAGACCAAAATACTACTATGCCTTAAAAACAAAATAAAACAGCTTAAGATTTTTGGGTCTGTTTTTATGTAATAGAAATGGAAATACTAAGTATTTTAATGCTAGCTCTTGAACAGTAGACCTACAAGGATTTTAAGTTATTTATATCCATTCACTAGCTTTTGCATACTATATGTTAGTGAGAAGTCATGAGTATGTATGGTGATACTAAGATTATGCCTTGTTGATAAGTGATAAACCAATTTGAATCTTCTTAGCATGTTTTGTTAAGTATGTTGATTGCTTTCTAATTAATGAACTTCTCACAGAAATTTCACTTTGTAAAACCAATGATTGTGACAAAATCATATGGGATTATTTCAATTACCTGAACAAATAGTACATAATGGCTTTTTGTGTCTTGGCTTTTTATAAATGTAGCCCTGAACTGGATTGAATGCAGTAGTCTCCAATCACCAAAGTATAATATCTTGGAAGAGCTATATTTTTTTAAAAGCATAATTTTTCTTGAGCATTAAACCATCCCAAATGGTGATATATTGTGGATAGGCCTAGGCCTATAAGATATACTATATATTTGGGTTGGTATTGGTTGAATCCTCCAGTTAACTGCTTTGTTGCTTTTTGTAAGATTTGTAATCGTAAGTATGTATATGTCAGGCATCTTAAGTCACCTTTTTTTTTTTTTACTGTTGTGTTTGTTTGAATTCTTTCAATATGTTATAAAATGCCAGACATACATGTAGCAGCCATATTTGCATGGGAACTGACTACACATCTATCATACTGCATTTTGTTGTATGGTTTTCACATAAATACAGCAATTACCTTGATTAAATTGAGTTTTTTTGATATATGAGAAAACTTTCCATTGTAAGAGAATCTTGCATACAATGTTGACATATATTAAACATCCAAATAAAGCATCTGTGTACAAGCTTACTTGCCATTGCTCATTTCACTATGGTTTTGTATTTTATAGATTTGACTGCATCCTTAAGGACTGAACCCAACATTTTTTCCCCATCCTCTTTTTTTCCCTCTTAGAACCCCTTTTATAGGTGATGATATCTGTTAACACAACATGGCATCTTGCCTGAGCCTCATTTATAATCATATTTTCAACTTTCATTTTAGACATGTCTATTGACATAAAATGCATCATGTCCAAAAAAGATTTCCTCTTTTTCTCAACTTGGACCTACCCTTCTTTTGTTCTAACTTTAAATAGTATTGCCTTCCCTTGAAATTTGGTGTATATTCTCATCTTGCATAAAGCCTTCACTTTGATTTTTGATCTTCATCTGTCATTTGGACTATTGTACTAATCACTATGCATTTCATTCTGCAGAAATACCAAGTAATTATTAGTAGCACCAAGGAGTCCTCTGGAAAAGACCAACTGATAACCTAGATTTTTGCATTATCTTAGTGATTTCCTCAGCCTTCTATGCTCAGAAATCTGTTGAAATTAACTTTGTTACCTCTTAGTTTACCTCTTAATATAAGGCTTAAGCTAAGTTTATAAGATTGATACATGAGGGTTGGGAATGTGGCTTAGTGGTAGAGTGATAGCATGCATGAAGCCATGGGTTCCATTCCTCAGTATCACATAAACAGAAAAAGCTGGAAGTGGTGCTGTGGCTCAAGTAATAAAGTGTTATAGCCTTGAGCAAAGGAAGCTCAGGGACAGTGCCCCGGCCCTGGGTTCAAGCCCCAAGACCAGGAAAAAACCAAAAGATTGATATATGAAGCCAGAATGATAGTTGATCTATTTATTTGTGATGTGAAATAAAACTGCTGAGAATATTAGGCACATTCTTTTTTTTTCTTTTTCTTTTTTTCAAATCCTGGGGCTTGAATTCTGGGCCTGGGTGCTGTCCATGAGCTTCTTTTTGCTCAAGGCTAGCCACAGCGCCACTTCCAGCTTTTTCTTTTCTTTTTTTTTTTGGTCAGTCGTGGGGCCTGAACTCTGGGCGTGGGAGCTGTCCCTCAGCTCTTCAGCTCAAGGCTAGCTTTACCACTTGAGCCATAGTGCCACTTCCAGCTTTCTCTGCTTATGTGGTGCTGAGGAATTGATCCCAGGGCCTCATGCATGCAAGGCAAGCACTCTACCACTGAGCCACCTTCCTAGCCCCTACTTCCAGCTTTTTCTGTTTATGAGGTACTCAGAAATCAAATTCAGGGCTTCATGCATGCTAGGCAAGCACTTCACCTCTAAGCCACATTCCCAGCTCTATTAGGCACATTCTTACATGTAAGCAGAAACAAATAAGAAACACAGATATGATCACATCTCTCGTTCAGAAATCTTCCCATAGTGCTTGCTTGCCTAGTTAATGATTCTTTATTTCCTGGGCCTGGCCTGTCTTTCCTCACTTGTTTTCTAACCATGTTGGTAAGTTGAATTTTCTAAGAACATGTATGTGTATGCTTTTATCTTGATGCTTATGTTGGTAATATTCTCTGACTTTTGTTCCTTTAGTCTTTCTAGACTTAAAATCTCACTCAGCCATCAAAACATAGGTCTAAAATTTCCTGATTAGCCTACTGCTTCCATAAACTTTTCCACTAGACTTGACATTTCTGAAGAGTAGGAATTGCTATTTATGATTACTTCACTTTTATGTCTAGAAAAACCTTACCAAATGTTAAATGGAAAGAAATTCAAAAATTAGTCATGACTTAATCAGGGAATATTTAACCATACATACTTCATACAAATAACTTTCTTTTGCTTTGTAGCCAGGAAAATGTTATTTTCTTAAAATCCTTTAGTTCATTTTTATATGCTTTCTTGCTTGATTTATCTAAGAGTGATAGGTCTGCTAATAAAACCTTTAATTTCTTATGAAAAACATGCAGTATAAAGACAAAGTGTATTTTATGAAGAAGTTAACTTGATCGAAGTGAAATCCCATTGGAATATTGTACTTTTCCTGTTTGTAAAAATGAGTACACACTCTCCTGCCTTTCCCTATATAATCTGGCTCAACATGAGACCCTCTCTCTTCTCTTTTTCTCCTCCTTCCCCTCAGTCTCTGGGTGCATCCATTTTGTGCAGGCCCACAGTTTGCTCTCCCTCCATTAAACTTTCTGCCTGAAAAAATAAAGAGTATACATAGGGTCAGCAAGAATATGTGAAAATTATCAGAAAACTAAGATAAAAGTGAACTTGGAAAAAATTATTCTCTAGGAAGGGTGTGCTGCTGAAAACTTTTTAGTATCTGGCACAAGTACAACAGAAGCTATTGAGTTTGAGGCCCATTTAATATTAACAGTGTGATGTACTGCCTTTACGTCTGCAGTTCTCAGAACTTCCTTATTCTGGAATGTGCTTGATTTGATTGCATTTTCTTGGCCACAGCAGGGAAAGGAGGAAGGTTGACTTTATTCTGTTTTAATTACAATAAGTTTGCCAACCATAGTTCAAAAGTTTGAGCAAATTATCATGTAATTATGTAAATCCTAACAATATTTGTTAATTCAGTTTAACTGATTGTGTACTGTGCTCTCCCTGTCTTAAATTCTGGACATACTATGGTGAAACCATTTATCTCCATCACTCTGTATGTATGGAAACTAATATTCTCGAAGGCAAGATGAGTAGGTAACAAATATTTCTGCTCCTTTGGTGAAAAAAAGTGAGACGAGTCAAGTAGCAATGATCCCTGTTACATAAGTATGTGCTTTGTTGGACTTTGCTCAGAGACACGTGGTTCTTTTCCCTCCAGTATGCAGAGTTGCTTGGATTTGGTGACTCACTGAAATCTTGCACAGATTAAAAAGTTTGAGTCCAGTGTAACAGCTGCACAAGCTACAGTGCCAGCCACCGTGAAAACCTTTACATACATAATCTCATTTAGTCCTCACAACAAACCCTTGAATTAAATATTATAATCCAGTTTTATGGAGGTGGAAAGAAGCTTAGGTTAAGAGGTTTGTCCAAACTCAATATGCTGAAGCTAGGAATCAGTCACTGAGGTTTCAAGCATTGGGCACCAAAGGTTACATAACAAATTACTCTATTTACACAAAAGTGTAAAAGCAGGCAGAGTTAATGTAGCTGTCAATTCAGGCTAGTGGGAACTTTTCATGATTGTTGCAAAGTACATAACAGTGCTGAGGTCCTTTCTTGATCTGGGTGGTGATTTCAGCCATATTTTACAATCTGTAAATACAAACTACAATTAACAACATGTGCATCTTCCTATATGTTATGATTCAGTGATAAGTTCTTAAAATTAAGATTACCAGGGGAAAATGTAAAAGAGCAAATGTAATAAATGATACTTTATTCCACTCTAAGTATGTGCTTGCTCCTAAAAGTTTATAAAGCTGTCACTCCCAGGCATATGCTGGGCTCATTTCTCCTGGAAAAGTAAATTTATGCTAAACTTCCACAACACAAAATGATTATATTTCATATGCTTACTTATAAGGACTTACATGCTCCACTGCATAAACCCTTGACTTAAGTCAAATTAAATAGACCATGTTTCTTATGAATTCTCCACCATTAGCTTGTCCTGCCCTCAAGGGAATGTCCACATATACCAAGTACCTTGCCAAATATTCATCTACCACTCTGGCCTACTAATTCCTTGTGCTTTATCAACTGCATTTCTTCATAATACTGTGTGCTACTGTCTTGTTTATTTAGAATTGGTACTCTCTGAATCAACATTCACTGAATTCACTCAGATAATTAACCCACTTTCTTTACTCCTATGCTCTCCTCACCTAGAGCTGGTAGGCTAGCCAGGTTTATTGGACACTTTTTCTTAATTCCTGAAACAAGTAAGAAGGAGTATACATTCTAAAAGTTTAATGTTTATAAAGCTAATAAGCATAATTTTAATGTGGTCAATATACATTACCAGTGGGGTATTTTGCATTTTATCTTGCTACATGTGGCCACTCTATGTTGGGCATGTGGTTGGGAATTACTAAAAAGACAGAAAAATCTTTTGCAATTAAAAAAAGCAATTTACATCAAGCCTCATGGATCAATTTAGTAAAATAGTGTTATTCCTCCCTCCCTCCCTAGAA